GAGGGGCAGGGGGGGGTGCTGGGGGAGGGTCAAGGCCCCCTTCGAGGGTGCTTGGGGGATTAAAGCCCCCCTTGGGGGTGGTGGCTGCTGCAGGTCTGAAGGGGAAGGGGGCCCTCCCTGGCAGCACGGCACCAGGGGCTCGTGGCCACGTCGCCCTGTTCAGATTGGTCCCAATGGGGGTGGTTATCTTCCTCAGTAGCAGGGGGCTAAACGTTTCGTATCAGATGCCTGCCTCAAATTTTTCGAATAAGACGGCAGGACAGGGCGGCGAACGTAGAAGTGTTAAATGGTGCTGGTCTGTCATTCGTGGGAACGTTGACAAGTAAGACGCGACTCGGGTGGCTTGGTCATGTCAAGAGAATACCAGATCGCAGGATCCTGACGACTGTGCTGTACTCTGAAGCTCACGCAGGGTCTAGAGAGAGAGGCGGCAGGCGCTGCACGTGTTTCGGGATGCTTGCAAAGGAGACTCGGCATCTTTTGGCACCTCTGTGGCTGGTTGGGAAGGCAGTGCGGAGTGCTGCTCTGGTTGGTGGACTCAGCTTGCAGATGAGCGAGGCTCTGCGGGGTTGACCGGATCAAGTTTTGCGACGACCAGCGTCAGAGGAGGAAAGAATCTGCTCGGATTCAGAGCATCGCTAGCGCATGGGTGGCGTGCCCCGCCTGTGGGCAGGACCCTCACACGTGCGTTGGATTCAGCAGCCATCAAAGAACTCATCAGCGCGTACGCCATGCTCTGTAAAGAGCAACGGTGCTAATTGAGTGATTGTAGCAGGGGGTGTGACCTCCACCCCAGATCCCTTGGACATATATTGGCAACCTTTCATAGAAGTGGGACATTGGCTGCCTTGGTTTCCCCGCTTTATCTGTGCCAGGTTTGGGTGCTAGGTCTGTGTTGGCTCGGGATTGATGGTCTTACGTAGAGTTTGGATGATGGATGGTATAGGATGGTTTGGATAGGGGTTGGGCCTGTCTCAGGTAGAGGTTGGCCTGGATGAGCTCTGGAGGACCCGCCCAGCCTGACTCCTCTGTGGTTCTATGACATTTCCAAGCCCCCGCAAGCCAAGTGATATGGCCCCCTGTGTGGGACATGACCTAGGGCTTGGCCCCCAGTCCCACATACCCTGGATCCAGCCCCGAGACTAGGGATGAAAGGTTGGGTACAGCTGCTGCAGAGAAAAAGCCTTGTTTCACCTGAACAACCCTCGAGAGGGATTTTGGCACCAAGCAGAAAGGCCTCTCTTGAGCTCTGGTCGTGCAATTTCATAGGAAAGGAGTTTTGCCTCCTTTCCATCGCTTATTTCCTGTGTGAAGTGTGCGGCCCTTATCCTTGTAGGTGATTCCTGGGAAAGTCTGTGGGTCTTTCCATGCCCATTGGAACCTCTGGAGCAGATCGTTACAAAGGGTTTGGCCTTGGCTTTCTTGGAAACTCAAGCGTTTTGAGGTGTTTGAGCTATTTGCGATGTATTCCGGTAGTTCTTCATTTGAGAAAGTGAGGAACAGCAGTTCTGTTGGCATAAAATGAAAATGGTCAAAGGTCAGGCTGAGAGCGCCTTTACAAAGGATGTTAAAGAACAGAAGATTAATTTTAACTTCCTAAAAATAGGAACAAGGGAGGAATGGGAGCTGCTTTACAGTAAGGCTGGGGTAGAAATTAAAGGTAACCTAGATGTGGCCTAATACTTAAATGAGTATTTCAGTATTCGTGTAAGATGTTGGTACAGAGCCTATTATGTTCCTGTTGTATTATGTGGGTCAGAGACTTTGGGTTTTAATAAAGAGGGATTTCTGCAGGCTGTAGCAATAAATAAAGGTATGTATTGAGAACTTGAGATCAGACTGAGTGAGTGCTAAGGAGCATGTTAAATCAGCAGAATTGAAGACGGGTAGAAAGACAAGAGATGGTGTAGTTGTAGCAAACAGGAGAGAATGCAGGAAGACAGGATACTTCATGGCATGATGAAGGTGCATACTGAGGGCAAGAGGCAAAGGGAAAGACTGGAAAAAAGCTGGAAGGGCATTTTGACTAGATGGTGTCAGGGAAGAAAGTATGTATATAACATGGCAGGCAGCGGAGAAGAAGTGGAAGGAGATATATTATCAGACCCAGGGCAAATTTCATGCACTCAGCGGAAATTTGTGTGTATTTTGTCCTTATACAATGGGAGCTCATCTTTTGGAGGTGATGGAGAAGGAGGAGTGTCTGCATATACTAGTAAGTTGTAGGCTGACTGAGGCTTCTTCAGTGTGATGCAGCCATGAAAAAGGCAGCACAATCCTAGGAACTATCAGGAGGATTTCCAATAGGAGGAAGTACTGGCATTAATGCCATAGCACAAAGCCCTGGTACCTCATTGGAAATATTGTGTGGTTTTTCTGGTTGTTCAGATTAAAGAAACCAAGGTTTCAAACTTGGACAGATGCAGAGGAGAGCTACTAGGTTGACTGGAGAATAGGGAGTCTGTGTTGAGAGGAGACAAAAAAAAAAGCTTGGTTTGTTCAGCTTAGTGAAGCAAAGGCTGAGTAGGAAATGATCACTTTTTAAAAATATATCCAGGGAGGGGAAAAGAGCTGTTTAAGCTAAAGGGCAGCATTGGCATGAAATCAAATGGGTATAAACTAGTTGTGATTATATTTAGTTTAGAAATTAGGCTTGTGACCATTGGAACAGTTAGCTTCTGGAACAGCCATCCTGTAGGTGTGGTGGAGGAAATATTTCTAAAAAAAAATTTAAGATGAATCCAGGTGTATTTATGGAAGGGATGCTATGATGCAGTTGCTCGAATAGCAGGGGGCTGGATTCAGTGATGCTCTTGTAAATCCCATGTTTCTAATTGAGCGACTGTGTTTGGATAAAAGTATGTTTTAATCTGGTTGGTTTCTCCCTTCTCCATGTCACTTTGAGTCACTGCTTAATTCTTTTGCACAACAGGATTTTCAGTTCAGAGCGCTGAAGAAAGTCCGAATTTTTGATGCTCCTGACGAGCTCCCCAAAGAGCGTTCCAGTCTCCTTGTTGTATCTAACAAATACGGGTTGGTCTTTGCCGGTGGAGCAACTGGCCTGCAAGTCTTCCACACCAAAAATCTTCTTATGCAGAATCAAGCAGGAGAAGATCCCAATAAAATTGGTGAGCTTTGTCTGATTACAGTGGATGTGTAGGGAGCCCCAGTAAGAGTGACGTGGCATAGTTGATCAGTCTAGGTTTGCCTCTTTCTACTTGTCACAAGGTGGCTGTAATGATCCAGGCCTTTGAAGCTGCCAGGCTTCCTTATTGGATGTGAATTTAAAAGTAAAGTAACATATTGTGGCACAGATCAAACCAATAATCCACCTAACCCAGTCAGGATTAGGGGCAGGATTCAGTGCCTTGGGGAAAATTGTCGTCTCATTTCCGTGATTCTGTTTTTGTATCTTGACTTCCAAAGTAATGGTAGCTTCTGGGATATTGTCCATCAAATTGAAAAAAGAAGTCACGTTGAGAACTTCCAGTTTTTGTATTAAAATTGCAAACAAACTGGGTTAAGTCTTGGGTTCTCCAGTTTTTGAGCAAAGCACATGTCAAAGTCAGATATAAGGAAATTCCTCCAAACTCCTTATAATCATTCCGCTTGAAGATAGTCAAGGCATTTAAAAGATGCTTCCAGAAACTAATGGGCAGCCTGTCTACAGCTTTTAGCAATAGGCTCTTATTTATGGTGGTGGGTGTATGTGCTTGTGGTAAAAATTCTACTTTAAATGCACATGATGATTGTCTAGAACTGACCACTCCATTCTGCTCCCCTTTCTTCTCTCTTTGTTTTCAAGTTGAGAATGTTCAAGGCATACTGGTTTCAATGAAGTTTCCTGTGCATCACCTTGCTCTGAGCTGTGATAACCTCACACTGTCTGTGTGCATGACCTCCAGTGAGATTGGTTCCTTCGTTGGCTTTTTTGATGTCCGAACGTTTTTAAATCAGGTAAAGCATGTGTTATGGCAGGGTGATTAAAACTGGATGTGAAAGGAAGGATTTGACAGTAGAAAAGGCCTGTCTAGAAATGTTTGGGGTTTTTTTTTGTGGCGGGGGGGGGGGGGGCCACAAAAAAAGAAACTTTGTAA